CCTATCCACTTAAAACTTGGGTGATGAGAAACTCTCCCTATTTGGTAAAACTCTTGACACTACCAAAAACAACTTAATTAAGAATCAAATCCATTTTGATAATATTAGAAGCACACAAACATCAATTTTTCATATACGCCATTGTAAGGATAAACAACAAAATTTATTTTATTCATAAAAGTAGTGGAAAAACATGTCCTTACAAAGCAAAAATTCAATTGAAAAACTATGTAATCAAATACTCCTAACAAATCTATCATAACTTTCTAAGCTCAAAATCTGATCTTCGAATCCATGCTATCTTAATCCATTTCTTCGTGATCAGAATTATCTTGCTCTTCCATCAAACTTCATCTCTTTTCTCTAATCCTGCAAAACATGCAAATGTAATCTTATCACATTATGTATAAAGAATTGGAATTTAATGGAAATAGATAGTGGATTTTATACCTGAAGTAGAGCCATACTTCTTGACTCTCTCATCTCTTAGACTCTTCAGTTCCTTTGGGCAGCTTCATATCCATTTCCCTTTCCTTTGGCAGCAGAAACATGTGGCTTCTCCTAGAACGTCCACGGAAGCATGGTTGGTTGATTCACTAGACAAATATGCTCCATTACTTTGCCAAATCATTTCTAATTCAGCAGCAATAAGCATGTAAGTTAAGTCAATGAGGGTCGCGTCAATGTTCATCATATAATACTCTCTTATGAACTTATCATATGATTCAGGGAGTGACTGAAGAACCCAGTCCACAACCATCTTATTAAGGAAAGACGCACCCAACATAATCAACCTATCGATGTGTGATTTCATCCCTAGGACGTGAGCACACACGGGCTTACCATCTTCATGTTCCAATTCCAATAGGGTTTCGGTGATCTTGAACCTTTCAAATATTCGATCTTGTGGGTCGGGGAGAACAACAGGAGGAGGAGGAGGGAGTGAGATCAAGCTAGTCCACATTGATCCTTCACTTTGGAACAAGCTATCACTTTCAATAGGAACACCTTTTCCTTGGGATCCGGGAAGACCACGGTTAGAGTTAGACATCTACAAAACGGGAGAAAATTCAAGTTAGTTAATTGAATCCTTAATGAAACACCCAAATGAGACATTAAGGCTAGGATCCAACAACATTATTTACACATTAGAAGAGGGATTCCGTAATCTAACATGAAAATAATTTGGAGGTAAGTGAATGACGATTCACTAATTCTTCACCAAGAAAAACATAAAGGCTTAAGTTTTAAATGTATTAAGAATTCCTAGATTTCCTTTAAGATTCATTGAACTTTTGAATGGCATGTTTAAATCTCGATATGCCCCTCTCGTTTGTGACTGGGATGCCAAGAATCACAAAGTGGGTGTGAATAACCATGCAAATCTACATGGTTCCCTCATTGTTACAGTTACCTATTCGATGTGCCGGTAAACCACACACGCTCCATCGAACTATGACTAACATTGAGTCACCCTTTGCTACATTTGCTTAGAACCCAATTTGTGTGACAGTTAACCACACGCGCTCCACTAACGTCTTAGCAAGGGTGCAAAGTGTAACTTCATGGGATTGCATCAACTGCACTTTTTCCTAAAGTAACTAATATTGGGAATTTGTAAAAGCGTTTAGTTACTTTATATAGATTCATTATACTTATTAATGAAGAAGGGATTGCCCTATCCTACCCGTTTGGCTAACGACCCTCCACCAATCAAGGAAGCGGTGGGTAAGAGTGGATACCCATTAAACGGTCATTTTATAGGCCATAACCTTATACCCCCCTTTTAGATCGGCTTCGTGAATGAGGTCTACTAATGGTAAGACTAGCGTTTTAGTTATACATATATAATATTAAACTTTTAATGTTATACGTAGTATAAGGGTGTATTTTACACTTTTTAAAATACTAGGTGGTTTAAATTATACTTTTAATTAACCAAAATCATTATGGATTTATTTATACACTTAATTAATTTAATAAAACCATAAGGGTTTAATTTGAACTTTTCAAAATTAGGGTTTTGGGATTTTAGACTTTCAAAATTAACTTTTAATCAACAATTTAAATTCCAAAACTTGAGGGCAAGTTTTGAAACTTTTCAATTAGGTTTTAATCTCACTTAAAAAATTTTGAATTTAAGACATTAAAATTTTAAATATTAAAACTCTCGATTTAATAATTATCTTGAATTAGACTATTAATTTAATTATTAAATCATAAGGGATTATCTAAATCATGATGATAATTACCATTTACACATTTAAGATATCCTAATCCCTTAAATATTTCTATAGATTTCGAAAATAATCTTAAGATAATAAAAAATCTTTAATTACCATATATAACAATTAAAGGACAATTACAAGATATGGGATAATCCAAATCCCTAAAAATTAGGATCTTATCTTGGGAAGGAGGCCAATTTCGAAAATCAAGGGATTAAGACAAACCCTAGATTTCTAACTTTAAAGGTTTAAGGAAAGTGTTTGAAAATCTTATTCAAACTTCTGCAAATTAGGGTTTGCAAACCCTAATCTCGAAAATCCTAGCCTCCTAGGGTTTATTGGCTATAAACCCTAATATGTCAAGTTCATACAATTGTATAAAACTAATTGAAAACAAGTCAACCAAAAGCTCTGATACCACTGATGGGTATTTATACAAACAATCCTGTGTGTGCATGCAACCCTAGATTTGGATCTATGTTTTCACTATTATATACACAACATTGTGAACACATAATAAAACCCTATTGATGATTATTATTTTTGAAATTAACCAAGAAGGTTAGATTACATACCTCTTGTTGTTATATTGTAATAACAACTTAAATCTTCAAACCCTAAGTCTTGAAAGCAAGCCCCACAAGTGTAGTGCCTCTAATGGCTCACAAACACCACAAGCAATTGCAGGAGATATATAGAGAGAAGAGGGAGGTAGAAATTGGCCTTTAGAACCCTTTAGGAATCATGGACGAAATCCTAAGGCCCTAGGGGTCTTTATATAGGGTTGGGATTAGGGTTTCAGTCCTTATCCTTATCCAATTACTTGCCCATCAAGAAACCATAAGATAAGCCTTGAAAAACCCTTATCTCTTGGACCTTGGATGATTTTAAGGATATCCTTATCCTTGAATTCGTCCATCCTTTAAGAAGGATAACCATTGCCCTATTTTTCAACTATCACATAATTACAATTCAGCCCCTCTAGTTTAATTGATTACACTTGATCACAAAATTAATTCCTAATTAATTATTGACCAATATTAAACAAATATGATTTCTCCTTTAATATATTATTCTTATAACATATTAATAAATCATAATAACCCCTCTCTCTATTATTTCTCCAGTCAAGTTGCTTTGGTGAAGACAACCCAAAAGGACCATGCACAATCGGGTCAAGTACTTACCAAATATGGTTACGGGCTTAAACACTAATCCAACATCTAGGGCATGCTTATCATGTAAAGTTGCAAAATTTATGTGCATGCATGGATATAAAGGCTCTAAATGCTTATTTTAAGTTCTTCAAGGAGCTTCATGCTCAAAAGAGACCTCAATCATGACCAAGACTACAACTTTATGCTTCTAGAATCCAAGGAGAGTATATTTGAGGTTACAACTTCAGATCTAGCCCATACTCATCTCATTAACTTATCATTCCATAAAAGAAACCCTAGAACTCAACCAATAGAAGAAATCTACAAGGTAATGGCGAAATGGGTACCTCTAGAAGATGATAAATAAGATAATTGTTGATTCCCACACTCTACTTGCTCTAACTCAGTTCTCCTCCCAGCCTTCTCCCTCCAAAGATTCTCTTTTTAAGCTTCAACACACAAAAGGGCACACACACACGGATTAGGGTCTCACAAGAGCTCTCTAGAACTGTAAAGAGGCCCAAAGGGGGCTGAGGTTCCTTTAAATAGGGTGTAAAACCCCAAGAATTAGGGTTCCATCTGCCAGCACCTACTCGCCGAGTCCCAATATGGACTCGTCGAGTAGGTTACTTATCACGCGCTTCCACCCTGCTGCTACTCGACGAGTAGGGCGACAAAATCGTCGAGTAGACCTTAACCCAAGAAATCTTATTTAAACCATACCTGAGAATCGGGGAGTTACAACATATATCTTGGCCTGAGATCCCAACATCCTAAAGTTGCAAAGCTTGGCGCTTCCGTACGCCGGTCAGAGGTGTGATAGATTGGTATCACAGCTACAAATTATAGCGAACTAGTAATACTTAGGAAATACAAATATAATCTAGGACTACATTATGATTAGGTTTATCCCTCTAATCCTAATAATATGTATTAGTATTAATTACCCTACTTCTTGACTACTTACGAGAGAGGTGACTAGTTGGAACTATCGCTTGGGTTGTTGGATTCAGAATGACTATATGCTAAAATGATCCTACCTTTTGGTACTTATCATCTGGCCGATCCTTACTTGATAGTCTTGGAGTACAAACCCCTAAAAATACACCCAACCCAAAAATTATTGAGTGATATAAATAAGCTCATATAAGTATACCTACTACCCAATAATACGAACCCACAAAGTCGCAACTCGGGATTTTAGTTCAAAAACCATATTTAGAGTTGGTATAGTACAACGGCTATACCACGACTAGACCTAGAACGTGCAACTAAGTTTTATTATGGTTCGACGTATGCACGATCTAACTCGGATATGGTGGTTGCCAATCTAAACACTTGAGGACCTATGGATTAGAGATATAGGCAATGATTCTATAGTTAGAGGCTTCTCTTAGAGACTTCAACGTCTTGGGATTTGCTAACTCAACGACATCTACACTCGAGGATTTTTCTGCCCTAGGAACCTTTAACATACGACATAGTTGGGGGAATTAGGAGTTTCGATTACTATCTATTACATACTTATAAATTGATATTATATAATATTTAATTGATCTTCACATGTCTTATAAACATCTTCCTACTTGATGTCTTATGCAGGTTTACTGAGAGCATGGCAGATGGTGTATCGTGGACACCAACTTCCTCATTAGAGGAGGAACATATAGTACTTGATGACTTAGTCGATACCTTGGATTATGTTAATGACTTAAAACCCAATTATACTCCCGTTGAGCACCCGACAGAGCCATCCCTTTCCCTTTACTACACACTGGCTAGGCTAGTGCTTCTCAGTTCCGAGTACAAGCCCAATGAGGATGAGGAGGACACTGCCACCTCAGCAGAGACCTCACCACCTAGATCACTCCTTCACACCAGTCGTATAGGACACCCACAGGTACTCGGGTGAAGCTGACCCTAAGGAAGGTTGTTGTTACCCCCTCACGGAAGAAGGTGATATCCCTACAAGCATCACCACTGATAGCAAATAAATCTCGCTGAGATGCTATTTAGATGCCCCATATACGATCTTGGGCATAGGAGGAGGATATTGGCTCATGGTTCGAGGTAGGAGTCATCCACTACACCTCCTCCTACCTTAGATACCCCTGTGGAGCATGTCATCTCTCTTCTGGAGCCTTGCACCACCCATCACTCAGACCGTATTGGAGCGATGGATAGTGAGCTCTTCTTATTAAGGATAGTCGTAATGCAGCTCATGGAGAGGGTACAATACTTGGAGGAGGAAAGGTACATATTGAAAATGTGGAGCTTAGTCATGCAAGATTAGTTGTATGAGGCACATAATGATGCCCAGTTCCACCGCCAGGTGCTAGAGGAGGTAATTAAACACACGGATCGATTAGAGCTCCAGGTAGAGAGGATGGAGTCTCGAGTCTCACTTTTGATGTTTAACGAGTGTTTGTATGTAGCCAGTTAGTCCAGCTGATGACACTTCTTATAGTGTATTGTTGTTCACAGTTTCCTTCTATTTTTGGCCCTAGCATGGTAGCTAAGAGGGATATGGATACTTTTCTGTTAGGTTAGGGTAATGGGAAAAGCCTACATACGTATGGTTTGTAACCATAAGGATTTTCCTACCCTAATCATACATAGTTTTGGTAACTTCGGCATGATATATATATATATATACACACAAACATACATACATAAATACATATATACATACATACATACATACATACATACATACATACATACATACATATTATACACACCTACTTGCATAAAATATGGTTGTTATTCTTGTTCCTATTAACATTAATACCAACACACCACAACCTAACCATGAGAGTACAAACTTGCTAATTCCAACAAATTAACTTACATCTCAACACTAACTTTAGGAATCTAGAAATGGCACCCCCAAGAATTACCAGTTCTAGTCAAGGTCTTCAAGCTAAGCAAGATGCTCAGTCAGCACAAAGTAACCCACCCCTAAACTGTTGGGTTTTGAGCATTCTAACATTCCTAAGTGTACATGCAACCCTAAATACCTTGGATCTATGTTTTCTCTATTATACATGAAAATATGAACATCGAATGTATTATACTAATCTAACATACAAAACAATGAATATAACAAGATAGAATACATACCTCTTTGATGTAGAATGTCTTGATGAAGCTTGAGTGCCTAGTGCCCGAAGTGTGACACCTCAAATGGTTCACACAACATCATATCCACTTGGAAGACTTAGAGAGAAACACCACACTTCTAAAATCGGCTAGCCCTTATCTATTCACACATTAGTGGCCGATTTTTCCAAGAGTATGATCTTTATATAGTGTTACAATTAGTGTAAACCCTAATTGTCATGACTTTCCGTTTTCCTTGGATCCATGGGTTCAAATACACCATGGAGCATCCTATGGGTTTTTAGCCCAACTTGATAATCCATGGAGCATTAGCCTACTATACAAGTATGGATGATTTACACAATCAACCCATATATTTAGTTAGTCTTCTTTTGATCACTTAATTAATTCTAGCTTAATTCTTGATCAATACTAATTAAATAATCTTATTAATATATTATAACTTATAATATATTAACAAACCTTAAGTGTTATTTCTCTCATTATAGTCTATCCAAATGCATGATGCCATGTAACCCAAATGGACCATGCCGGGTCGGGTCAAGTCTTACCAGTTATAGTTATGGACTTAGACATTAATCCAACAGTCTCCTACTTGGATAAGTCTAAAAATATTATTGCGTATGACTTCAAGAACCAACTGGCAATCGTAGCTCTCAAAAGCTTCCGTCAAACTCTAACCTTGCGGATGATCTCTGACCTTTGTCAATAACTTGTCCATTAGATAAGGGATCATATATTCCTCCATTCTAGATATCATATGGACTGAGACATGGATTGTAAATCATTCTCTCTATCCATTTGTTGTTTCCCGATTTCCGATTTATGATGACTGACTGATTGAACAAATCAAATCAGTCCTGGCTTGGCCAAGCACTCACATATGTCATCATTAAATCATCGAGGGGCCCACATATATGGATTTTATCCCAAAGGTAAAAGGAATGGATAAACTTCGACTCATATGGCTTGTTCTGCTACTTGTTGAATCATACACAAAGACACGTTTTATAACATCGAGTTACCAATGTGGTTTCGAGCAATCAATGTATAACCAACTCATAGTAACAGCTCATATCTCTAGGTTTGAAGTATATAAGATATTATCGTCTCATGATCACTCGTGATAAAATCCATGAAGTGATTCAAATGAGCGCGGGTTAAATCCAATACTCAGAACTTATGAGCACTCATGAGCATTGTAGCACAACTTTGTCCACCGACTTGGACCTCTACAAGCCAACCCATGATAGTCTTGATTTATATCTACTTCCAACATATGACCGATTGTGGATGGTTTAAATAACTTAGTCATTCCGGAAGAATAACCTAGTTATTATGGAAGTCAAAAAATGCAAAGTTAAACACAAGAATAAATGAATCAAATATGGTATCAAACCCTATGAATATAAATAGACCACTTCTATTTATCACCATACTGATTACTCATTCTTCATTGTTTTGGTTTTATCAACTTTATACTTGAATTAATACACTAGGTATCCCATGCTCCAAGCATGTACACTATGTTTTCCTAAACAATAGCTTTGCCACACACTAAGTATGCACTCTATGTTTATCTATGATCCTTAGTTTGTGAAATAAACCAATTGACCAAACTTTCAATGATTCTAATTTCACACTCCCAAATTGAAATCTGTTAGATTTTAAACTTAAATGCACTACCCTCTTGCAATGAATGTGTACAAAGTCACAAAGACTTGTCAACAACCATTACAGGGTATTCCAATGAAGACCTACTCAATGGACACAAAGCCTTATGTTCAAAGTATGCATTGCTTTGAACATGCTTCTTGCACTAAGTTCTTTTTAATCTTACACAGATTGCTTCTATATATAGAGACAACTCTATTTCCCATTTTAACTACTACTTCTGAACAAAAGTTGCCTCTTTTCAGACTATGTCAATATGGCCCTTCCAAAATTCACACTATACTTCCAACTATCCTTGAGCAACCAATCTTTGGTAAACCTTAGATTGTCCTCGACAATTGCTTAATCACTTTAGTCATATCCAATTTTAGAAATTTTCCTCCTTAATGCCCCAAGGCATTTGGAAAATTCATAAAGAATAACTATTATAGCACATGTAATCGATCTTGTACCCAAAGTAAATGGGACACAATTCATGATGTTTCACATAAAGACATGGTTTTAGACCATTCTTTTGCCATAATAATTTTTTTTGCCATATTCTGAAAATTTTACTATGAAAAGGGATGCTGTAATCATAATCGAATTTTGAGAATGCAATATATAGAATTTTCTTAAGTTGAACCAATCCAACAAGAAATTCATATATATATATATATATATATATATATATATATATATATATATATATATATATATATATATATTCTTGACTAAAGGTGATTAAAATCTCAATATAAGCTCTTTAGAATGATTATAACTCAATCTAAGCTTTTCATAATTGAAATGATGTATAATTTCCTCTCCCTTAATTATAGCAAAACAACTTTTTCAACCCCTACAACTTCACGAATTGAAACTTTTGTTTTTTATAATTAACATTGCTAACTTGCAATACTTATCATAATTATCATGCTCCCACTAACATGATGATTATTAGCATAACACTTATGCTCCCACTAGCTTTGACATGTACTCAGAAATCAACTATTGACTTTTTTTTTACCAAAGTTCAGATTTCTCATACTAGATTGCTTTGATAAGACTCTATCAAAATCATACACCTTATCTTAGATAGCTCACAGGTGTGTCTAAACAATTTCAGAACTATGAAAAGGGATGTCGTAATCATAGTCTCAATTGGTTAGACCTTTGCTATTTCCCATAAGTCCATGTTAGTGTGCCTACTAACAACTTTGAGAATGCAAAGATTACTATCTACTTACAAATCTACTTGGTGGAAGTGTTTCCTCACCATCATTTTCATGAATCGGAGAGAAACCTTATGACACTTAGATATTTATGGTGTATAAGTTCCTACCCATATGAATTTGTCAAAACCTTAGTCACAAGACACAGATAATGACAAATCCAAACACATATGGACTGAACTTATGCAATTTTTAACTTCTTGCCATTTGGCAGCACAAGGGCCTGCCATAGCTTCCAAGTAGTTGTGCAACCAATTGAGGACTCTAAGAACTCATATGCAAAGCCAACTTTAACTGGAATGGGCACAGAAATGTCAACACGATAGGTCATAAACCTCACGTCGTGTGCTAGTGAAGACCCTCAGGTTTTATTCTTGATTAGTTCTTGAGACTTTCAAGACCTTTAAGACTCCCACTGTCCTTTGGATATATAAGACTCCCTTGTCAAATATTCAAGGGATAGTGCGGATTCTTTATCAAGACAAACACTTCACATAATTGGCCTAAGTTGGTCTTTGTTTTATCCAAAACATCACAACTTACCAACTTCAAATGTACAAGAGTAGGACACTTTTACTCTTACATTTGACACGTGTTTTTAAACCTTTCATTAAGATATGTCACTCAAGTTACAATCTTAGAGTATAACTCTAAGGATTGTTTTGGAACGAAGTATGACTAATCTTCTTGATTTAACCACTTCAACAATTCATAACTCCTCTTCTTAGCTATCAGAATGCACTTAGAGGATGAATTGTGATAAGGTCTCTTAATCATTAAGATGATCATATAACATGATACTAAAGTACTCTCCCATCTTTTCATATTTGAGAAAGTTTTATCCTTCTGCCTAATTTGATTCTTCTCATTCGTTCTACCATACATCGAATTTATCCAATGTATCAGAATCATACTTAGACTTATAAGTATAACCATATTTACTAAACTTTAGTAAATCATGACGAATAGTCTTATCGACTATTTGTGGTGGGCTTGATCAGTGCACATGACTGTGTACTCGATCCCTTAGCTCTTCACTTGACTCACACATCCATGTGAACAAGTAATTAGTCTTAATTTTCCAATGCTTGAAAGTTCTCATCCATCATACTATACAACTTGCATGATTCCAAGTTTCGATCCAATTGAAACTCGGGTGATGAGAATCTTTCCTTATTTGGTAAATTTAGACATTACCACAAATGAAATAATCAAAACCATTTTCCATTATTGCCATCAATGGAATCATATAAACAACAATTTCTTTCATAAATGCTATTGTAAGGATACTTAAAATAAATAAAATAAAAAATTTCCTTTTATTTTAAAAACTTTGCGGAAAAGTTTATCCTTACAATCCATATGAAAACTTGTTGTTATATATTCCTAAGCAATATCTCATAACTCCTAAGAAGTAGCTCAAGAATCCAATCTTCAACCTATGCGATAGAAATCCATCTACGCGATCAGATTCAACATATTCTTTCTTTAAGTTTCTTTACTTTTCTTTGATTCTTAAAACACCAAGATGTGACCCAGTCA